TGTATCACCTAATTTTCAAAGTTCGGCAACTTCTCTTTACTGCTGTTTTTTGGTTACTCCTTCCTTTCTTCCATCCCTTCCTTCCTTCCTTCTCTTCAGAGGAAATAAGATCCAAGTTCACACATTATGCCCAGCCAGGCATGGCTCAGAGGTTGAGCATCAGCCTAGGATCCAGGAGATCGAGGTTCGATTCCCAGTCAGGGCACATGCCCGGGTTGTGGGCTTGATTCCCAGTCAGGGGCGTGTAGGAGGCAGCCGATCAATGACGACTCTCTCATCATTAATGTTTCTATCTCTCTCTCCCTTCCTCCTTCTGAAATCAATAAAGATTTTTTTTTTTTTTTTTTAAAAAGTTCACACATTATATGGCTTATATAATGCTCATGATTCCTTAATTTAGAACAGACCCCTTCCTTTTACTTCTTCCACAACACTGACATTTCACGACATTCAGTTCCTTAAAAAACAAAAACAAAACTAAATTGATTAGATTGTAATGTCTCCAAATATTCATTTCAGGTATATAAAATAAAACCTAAATGTGAAATTATGTCTTTCACTTACAGGTAAAATCACCTGATCATGGTTCACTATATATTTTGCATGTTCTGAATAGTAACATCTTTGAGGACCCAAATTAAGATTTTACTATATTCTGAAATATTCTGAAAGCACATCTCCTCTCTCAGCACATTCCCACTTTTCCAAAAAAAGAATTTACACCAGTACACATGTCGAACTCCTGTGTACATCTTTCCCTGACTCTCCCATGCAAGTACTGTTACTAACTCTCCTTCTGTGTTTCCTATTCTTGCTTGAGCTGTTGCTGATGAAAGTTTTCATTATTGAATGTGCAGCCCGGCTTTCCCCAGACTACTGCAGCCTGGTATAAAAACTGGTCTCACTTTGATTTAAAAAAAAAAAAAAAAGTCTCTGGTTCTCAATTCTTCCAGCTATTAGAGGACTCTAGCCCTCAAAGACTCAGTCAGTGCTTGGTGAGTCAGTTTTCACAAGTGCTTACAAAGGGGGCTTGGGGCTATTTTGTGATATGCATCTGTTCCTCCTCTTCTACTCCATTCTGGACCTGCTTTCTCTGTTCCCACTTCTTTTTAATTCCCACAGGCCACCAGGCCTTCCTATTCATCCAGGCCTCCCCTCTCACCTGCTGTCCAAGGAGGCATCGTTTTGTCATCTCTCTCGCTTGTTCTTATCTAATCCTGATTGTTTTCTGCAGTATCTCAGTGGGAAGTATGTCTGTGCATTTAATTATTTTCCTGCCTTTTCTTCATTGTTAACTGCATGGAGAGGCAGAACCTCTCACAACAGACCTGAACACATTCCTCTGAGATACAAATTCCTGAGCAAGCGACGGGAAACCCTCGCGGTATATAATGGAAGCACCTGATTCAGTCACCAGGACCTATGGACAGAGCTCCGTGCTGGGCTGGAACCTGCTTAGTACAAATTCCATACTAAGGACTCAAATCACGTTAGCATCATCTGTGCTCTCTCTCTGTGCACGACTACAATTCAAATCACAAAGTGGCTCCACATCAGATCATATAAATTCACAAGTGCAATTTACTTGCTCTGGACAAATATACATTTTTATCTTCATTACCATCTTGTTTTCATTAACATTTAGCTCCAAGCATAATGTAGTAATTTCTGCTTTGTTACCAATATTTCATTCTAGTAAACGTGGGAAAACCAAAAAGACTGCTGTATCACCCTCTTCCTCTTTTCATTTCATTCCTAAATTGGCCCGATTCCAAGTTTGTGTTTCATATGAAATTCTTAAAATCAAAAAGTTAAGGCATTAGCATGTCCAACTCTCACTCAGAAGAAACATCCATAATTTAACTCGGCGTACATGAGGCCAGAACAACACAGTGAGTGCCACCTTGGACTCCAATGGGTTAGTTTCTCACACAGCCATCTGATTTTTCCCTCCCACTGCCATTCAACTTATTCATAATATGTGCTGCTAACATGAATGGCTGCTATTAGCCTGGCCAGCTCCCCCTCTATGCCGACACTGATGACAGCCACAGCCTTCTATTGTTTCTCTAGCCTTTTACTTTATTCTTTACACATATTACTACATAAAATTATATTAATACATTAGTGTTATCTGTACCTTGCCTGTCTCCCAGCACTCACCTCCACTGGAATGCAAGCCCCATGAAGGCTGGGACTTAGATCACACAGTATACTTGGGACACAATAAGAACACTCTACTTGTTGATTGAACTAGGTCTCTGGAATGATTCCCCACAGCTTAGCACATTTCTAATTATTGCCCTCAGAGTCAAAGGCCAAGAAAAAGTCAATCAAACAACCTGAATTTATTAGTGGCATATTTCTCTGAAAGGTGGTAAAGAATATGTACAGTGGGGGTCTATGGTTAAAGCCCCTTGATCTTCACATAGAACTATAGATAAAGGAAGCCCGTTTCTACAGCATAAAGGAAACGGGAGCATGTTCTGAAAGGTACAATAGACTAGAAAGTCAGTGATTTGGGCAGGGACCTAAGGAGCTGCTCTTTCAAGGAATAGGATAAACTAAATTTATACCCAGTAAAATTACGTCAGGCTTTAGAACTTTACCCCAACTGTTGTTTAAAGGATTAACAAAGCTAAATAAATTTCTTAATACCCTATTCAAAACCATTTAAATGTTTATTGTGGATCACTGGCCTGGGGATACAACAGGCAAAGTTTCTCAAACTTATCTGACTTTGGGATGCCTTTCTCTGAACCACTACTTTACATATCCTGGAAATCAATTTGGGAAAAGTTTCTGTAGAGCTCATAAAAATTGTGTTAGCAACTGTAGAGACCACAATACAGCCTGATCCTTAAATAGTTCTGAGGACAAGAAATTTTTTTTTCAATTGCTTTATTCAGCTTAAGTTTTTAACCAGAATAGCCTGGATCCTCTGTGCTCTTTTAAAGAGGGTGTTTGCTGTCTTCCAACAGTAATAGCAATTTACTTATTTTTCTCATTTTACTACAGTGTATAAAGTCCCTAAACAGTTGTAGGCACCCCTGTCCTATTTCCTACTTAAATGCAAGTAGCTTCACTACTGCAATATAGAATATAATATTTTAAATTTTGGTAGTTTTTATCAGGTTTCAGTAATTTCTTCCTATTCTGTTTTACTTAGAACTTCTACTGGGAAACACTACTATATTTTATCAAATGTCAATTTTATCGTATTATATAATCATCCGATTTTTCACTTTTCATTTGTTAAATAATGAATTATAATGAAATTTCCTTGATGGTAAAATTTCCTAATTGTAAAATATCCTTAAATTCCTAGAATAAACCTTACTTGGTCATGAGATACTATTAATTTAGATTAACTGCTAATTTTGATTTTCTAATGCTGACATTAAGAATATCACTTTAAACATACATAATTTACGTATTTGTAAAGATAATAAACAAAGATAAAAAGAAATGAAACGAGATACAGCAAGTCCTCAAATAACATCACCGTGTTCAAAGGTGTTTTGTTATAACGTTAATGAGGGGAAAAACTGATTTCCTGCTGGATCCACTGTCTGTGTGGAGTTTGCAGCATCTCCCCACATCTAAATATGCTTTTTCCGGACACCTGGCTTCTGCCCACACTCCAAAGATGTACAGGTAAGGTAAGCAGCATGTATAATTGTCCCAGTCTGAGTGAGGGTGATAGGTGTGAGTACGCCCTGTGATGGAAGGGAGTCCTGTCCAGGGGTGGGTCCTGTCTTGAGCCCTGAGCTGTCGATTGGCTCCAACCACCTGTGACTCTGAACTGAAATAAGCAGATTGGGAAAGAATTCTTGTTTTTATTAATCTTTCTAAAATGTGTGTATAGCTCACATATATTTCAATATTTAATATTAGAAGTGTTTTGGGTCTTTATTTAGAAGTTTGGTGAAGTTTTTGTGACCAGAAATATACTATAGGAACTGGACTCGTGTTTATATCAATTAACCTACGATAAAATTGGTTTCGTTATACTTCATTTCACTTAAAGACCCAATTTTCAAAAAAACCTATCAAGGATATTAAGTGAGGACTTACTGGAGTTCTATTTACCAGAAATTTTAATCAGAAATACTATCTTTTTTCAGTCACATTCTGTATAGAGTCCCAAATTTTAGTTCCTTTCAGATCGCTATTTTTTTAAATTGTGCTATGGAAGTAAAATTATGCCTTTTGTCTGTTATCTTAAAGATTAATTCCAGAAAACAAAATATCCAAGACTGTGAACAGCAATTTTGAAAGTTAATGAGGCAAAATTTAAATATCAGAGAGCAAAAAGCTAAAGACAAAATAACCTAAGAACAAAAATGTTCTTTTTTATCTAAAATATAATAGTGTTTTACCTAAAGAACACCTTCTATGCTTTTTAATTTATAAAATATATTTGTTGTAATTTTCTCTGTAATATTACAAACAGCACATTTTTATGAACTATTCTTTATACTAAAAATGAATCAGATAATATGACAATATAGGAAAAAGCTGCCCTAACATTCCCTGTAACATTCTTTAGTCCTAGGCCAACAGATATAATGGAAAACAATCTTAATAACCATTGAATCAACTGTTTCAGTTATTACTACTAAAAAACAATCATTTAAACAATAAACTTATGTTAGCTATTAGACTCAGATGGAAATCAGTCTTTACTATAAAAAGTAACAAATTATTAGTCACAGTTTCAAAGTCATTTGAGTCCACTTAATAACATCAATCTGATTCACTGTGCTCCCTAATAAACTCTACTGGAATTTATACTAACTCTCATTTGCATAGTTTCCATATTTATTTAAACAAATCTCACACTACCAGCTAAAGTCAAAGTAAAGTAAAGAACAAGAATATATAAACATCAGGATTCTTAATGCTCTATCTCCTACTTTACTGGCAAGACTGTTACAAATGTTAAAGCAAATACTAAAAGATATGAATGTATTAGATGAATTATCAACAATACTCACGCATCATTTGAGCAAGTCATAAATTCTCCCTTTATCTTGGGATGCCATGAGCCAGTATGAAGCATTGCTGTGTGACCCTTAAGAAACAAAACAAGAAAAGAAAAAAGAGAGATTAAAGATGGCGGCAGACTAAGTGGAAGCTACACTGACACTCTCCCAGGACCAACCTGGAATGAAAACTAAAATATACAAAAACCACTCTGAGTAATCAACTGCAACTGAAGACGAGCTGGGGAACACTGTCATAACCAAGGAGGAAAAGTGGAGACTGCATAGACACTGGTGGGAAGGTCTGGAGGGAGATCTCAGCTGTGAGGGTTCCCACTGAGGACTCTGGGGCCTCAACCCCAGGCTGGGCTCCTCTGCCCAGAGCTCCAGAACTGAGAAAGGTGCCCACATAACATCTGGCTGTGAAAAGCAGCTGGGTTTCTGTCTGCCAGGGAGAAACAGATGGAAATGCAGGCACCCTCTTAAAGGGCCAACACACAAAGATTCGTGTGCAGCCACTCACCTTGGGGTCCAGCAGAGGGGGGGCAGAGTGGACTGGAGCTGTGTGAGGAGAATCTAGGGATGCTGGCTCAGGAGATAGAGCTCAGAGGGCATCCTTCTGGATTCCTGTGCCAGGTCATTCCCCCATACTGTAGAGGCAGACATTTACCTTCCAAACAGCTTTTGCCTGAGGGGGAACCAATTGCCCTACCCTGCTGCAAAATCTCTCACCCTACCTGTGGAGTTTCTATACCTTGAAGCTCATTAAGAGACTGATAAAAATCAGCTGCCCCACCCTGTGTGAAGTTTCTACAGCCTGAGGCTCATTAAGATAATCAGATTAATCAACCTGCCGGCAGAAGCACACTTCAGAGTGCTTTGAGTCTTTGCCTGATCTGCTTCTGGACCCAGGCCTTGGAAAAATAGACTTTGGTGTGCATCTTGGTCCTGTCCAAATGCACCCAGCCCCAACAGAGGGGACCTCAATCCATGGGTTGTTGATAGCTCCAAACAGGGACTCGGGGACCTCAATCCATGGGTTGTTGATAGCTCCAAACAGGGTACTCAAGGCCAGTCACAAACAGCATCTGACATTGGCATGCACCAGAGAACATCCAAAAAGACTAAGAGTCCTAGCAGGTCTATCTAATAGATAAAAACAAACCCAAATAGGCAGTTAAAATGGGGAGACAAAAAAAAAAACAAGCCCCAAGTGAAAGAACAAGAGAAGTCTCCAGAAAAAAGAGCTAACTGAAATGGAGATGAGCAGTCTCTCAGATATAGAGTTCAGAATACTGATTGTAAGGATGCTCAACAGCATGAAAAAAGATATGGAAACTATGAAGGAAATTATGAATGACATAGCAGAAATAAAGAATACATTGGAAGGAATAAACAGNTGCAGGCACCCTCTTAAAGGGCCAACACACAAAGATTCGTGTGCAGCCACTCACCTTGGGGTCCAGCAGAGGGAGGGCAGAGTGGACTGGAGCTGTGTGAGGAGAATCTAGGGATGCTGGCTCAGGAGATAGAGCTCAGAGGGCATCCTTCTGGATTCCTGTGCCAGGTCATTCCCCCATACTGTAGAGGCAGACATTTACCTTCCAAACAGCTTTTGCCTGAGGGGGAACCAATTGCCCTACCCTGCTGCAAAATCTCTCACCCTACCTGTGGAGTTTCTATACCTTGAAGCTCATTAAGAGACTGATAAAAATCAGCTGCCCCACCCTGTGTGAAGTTTCTACAGCCTGAGGCTCATTAAGATAATCAGATTAATCAACCTGCCGGCAGAAGCACACTTCAGAGTGCTTTGAGTCTTTGCCTGATCTGCTTCTGGACCCAGGCCTTGGAAAAATAGACTTTGGTGTGCATCTTGGTCCTGTCCAAATGCACCCAGCCCCAACAGAGGGGACCTCAATCCATGGGTTGTTGATAGCTCCAAACAGGGACTCGGGGACCTCAATCCATGGGTTGTTGATAGCTCCAAACAGGGTACTCAAGGCCAGTCACAAACAGCATCTGACATTGGCATGCACCAGAGAACATCCAAAAAGACTAAGAGTCCTAGCAGGTCTATCTAATAGATAAAAACAAACCCAAATAGGCAGTTAAAATGGGGAGACAAAAAAAAAAACAAGCCCCAAGTGAAAGAACAAGAGAAGTCTCCAGAAAAAAGAGCTAACTGAAATGGAGATGAGCAGTCTCTCAGATATAGAGTTCAGAATACTGATTGTAAGGATGCTCAACAGCATGAAAAAAGATATGGAAACTATGAAGGAAATTATGAATGACATAGCAGAAATAAAGAATACATTGGAAGGAATAAACAGCAGATTACAGGAAGCTGAGGACTGGATCAGTGAATTAGAAGATAAGGTAGAAAAAAATCACTCAATAGGAGATCCAAAAAGAAAAAACAGTTAAAAAACCAGAAGGCTGTATAAGGGAGCTGTGGGACAACATGAAACATAACAATATTCACATCATAGGAGTAACAGAGGAGGTAGAAAGTAAGCAAGGGTTAGAGAACCCGTTTGATGAAATAATGGCAGAACACNACAGAGGAGGCAGAAAGTAAGCAAGGGTTAGAGAACCCATTTGATGAAATAATGGCAGAACACTTCCCTAGCTTGGTGAAGGAAAAAGTCACACAAGTACAGGAGGCACAGAGAGTGCCAAGCAAGAAGAATCCAAAGAGGCCCATGCACAGACATATCATAATTAAAATGCCAAAAATTCAAGACAAAGAGAGAATATTAAAGACAGCAAGAGAAAAGTAATCTGTTACCTACAAAGGAGCTCCCAAGGTTGTCAGCTGACTTCTCATCAGAAACTCTACAGGCCAGAAGCCAATGGCATGAAGTATTCAAGGTAATGCAAAACAAGGATCTGAAATCAAGACTACTCTATCCAGCAAGGCTATCATTCAAAATAGATGGTGAAAAAAGTCTAAAGGAGTTTATCACCACCAAACCAGCATTGCAGGAAATGTTAAAGGGGCTGCTGTAATTAGAAGTAGAAATAGGAGCATTGCAAGAAATGTTAAAGGTGCTGCTGTAATAAGAAGAAGAAACAGAGGGAGAAACATAGGCATAAAGAATTAAAATGGCAATAAATAAGGACCTATCAATAGCCTTAAGGATTTTAAAGGAGAGATCAACAGCAATACAGTCGTAGTTCATAGTCATGGACTTTAACACCCCATTGACTTCACTAGATAGATCTTCCAGACAAAAAGTACACACAGAAACAGTGACTAAATGGCACACTACATCAGATATTTGATATTTACAGAATATTTCACCCTAAAGCTGCAGAATATACGTTCCTCTCAAGTATACATGGGTCATTTTCAAAGACAGGCCATGTGTTAGGACACAAAACCAGTCTCTACAAGTTCAAGAAGACTGAAATCATACCAAGCATCTCAGATCACAAGGACATGAAATTAGAAATCAATTATAGTAAAAACACTCAAAAACATTCAAACACATGAGGTAATAACATGTTATTAAACGAATGGGTTACCAATAAGATCAAGAAAGCAATCAAAAACTTCCTGGAAACAAATGAAAATGAACACAACCCAAAATCTATGGGACACAGCGAAAGCAGTCCTAAGAGGGACGTTCATAGCACTGCAGGCCTACCTCAAAAAGCAAGAAAAATTTTTAGTAAACTATCTAATCTTACAACTTAAAGAATTAGAAAGCTCCCCTGTGAAGCCCTCAGGACCAGGGCTTTTGTTTACTGTGAGTTTTTTGTATTACTGCTTCAATATCATCAGTTGTTATTGACCTATTTAGGTTTTCTGATTCTTCCTGATTCAGTTTTACATGGTCTCACTCATATGCGGAATCTAATAAACAAAACAGACCAAGGAACAAAATAGATCCGGAAACACAGACCCATGGAACAGACTGATGAATCTCAGTAGGAAGGTGGGGTGGGGGAGTGGGTGGGGAGAGATTAATCAAAGAACTTATGTGCATATATGCATAACCCATGGACATAGACAATAGTGTGGTGAAGGCTTGGGGGGGTGGATACAGAGTGGAGGGGGTCAATGGGGAAGAAAAGGGGGGATATTTGTATACTTGTAACAATAAAGATAAATTTTAAAAAGAAGAAAAAAGATTTTTAATGAAGGTAAAAAATATAAACTAACCAGAAACTGACATATGCTTAAAACTTTTTCGTCTTCTCCAAAGCACAGTATTTTAATGACAAACTGATATTAATCTCAGTTTTATTCCATAATATGCTCTGTTTATTTCACTTTGTTTATTTTCACTTTAATTCACTGTGTAACATGCCCCCCACCAAACACCAGCTGCCCAGGAATTAGCACAATGCTTATATATAACAGGTGCTTAACAGGAAGAAAACAGAGGGGAAAAAGAGCAACAGGTCCTTCTTTAAAGGTTCTTCTCTCAATGGAAAAAGAATTAAAAAGAATAGAAAGTATTTACAAATAGTCAAGGCAAAAGCAAGAGGTTGGGGGCAAAAATTCCATCTTCTTAAAAATGTGTCAACAATCTTGATTCTATAATACGTATAGAAGAATAAATATGTGAGGAAAGGGAAAACATCTTTAAAATCATTCAGGAAGGTTCACCTTGCTAAGTATAGAGCATAATATAAAAACACTTTAATTAAAACAATGTGATATTGGTATAAGACTGACATACACACCATATCAACCACAAAATACCTATCAAACACAAACACACATACACACACACTCCCCTCCAAGGTAGTGGTCTCATGCAAAGTCAGGTTCAGATGGGGCAGAAAAGAACCTAATATTTTTTAGTGTAATAATGGTAAGGTCTCTTATCCTAAAAGGATAAAAAATAAAGCTATACTACAAGAAGAAAAATGTGCGTATTTAAATGACTTGGAAGGAAAATAACTGTGGTTGTACGGAAAGAATAAATTGGAATGACAATACCCACATGTAGGCCTAGAGACCATCTCTAGTCCAAATTGCCTACAATGCCTCAAGTAGTAGCTGGCCAACTCCTGACATTCTGTTCATGTGTACAGGATACAAACAGGGACCATCGAAGTGAAACTTCTTCTACAG